TAATTTCTCCGGATGAATTCGAACTATATAAATTAACCATTGCCCCTAATAAGCATCAATTAACTTTCGTCCCTCCTTATCCTTTCATCGCAACAAATAAGAAAGCGTTCATGTACATAGAGGCTGAATGCCCGAAGTACAACAGGTACTACCTCTGCGAGGAAAATATAAATCACCAGCCAAGAGATGACCCTGATTGCATCCACGATCTTATCTACAATCAAGCCATGAACACTTCATGCCAGCCAACCTCTGTTTCTTTCACTAAAGAAGCCATGGAACAACTAGACGATAAGCATTACGTCCTTATTTTCCCCGAGACCACGAAGATCGAACTTCATTGTCAACGCCTGGAGTACAGTACGCTTCAAGGAAGTTATCTCGTTACCATTCCGCAAAATTGTAAGCTGCGAACCGGACGACTAACACTGGCAAACAATAATGATCAGATCAACGGACAGCCTCTGAAAATAACTGAAATCCCGAAGGATGCAAAAATCACAGGACCCATTAGACCTCATATCAAGCTCACCTCCTTGAACCTGGAGAAAATACACCAAATCCAAGATGATATAATCCAACAACATCCTGTGGACCTAGAACAAAGTGACGTCACGAACCAAGCACTCTTTCATACGACAATACCTTTTTACGGAGCACTCTGCGGCGCGATTGTCCTAGCTGTTGTAATCGCTGTTCATCGGCACAAGTCTTGCAACATAACCCTGGAAAAGAAGCCACGCGAAGAAACCTCAAAATTTCACCCGTACGAGAGTCCAGAAGAACCCCAGAAGAAGGACCGAATTCCGGCAACATTTGCCCTCAAGATTATCAAATAGTTGCCGAGCTAAGGGGGGAGGTGTTACGTACCCTAGTAACATGCATTTTGTTAATTCGCTATTTCGCAATTAGCAACCAGTGGCGTACGTGACTACAAATTGTCGACGCAGCAACCTCATTCCATGTTCATGGAAAATTACGCGACTGGCGTCAAGTGCTGACACTGCAGCGTCGCTATGCCGCCCGGGCCGGGGCCCGCTGGCGCCACTTCGGTACTGACATCGTCCAAGTCCACTCGATAGCATCTTAGTTTAATTAATTGTTATAATTGTAATTCTTTAATAAATAAGTTCATAGAATTTTGGTTTTTTTTAAACGCTACGGCTGTAGTCTACATAATTCGCGGGAGTGAGCTGATTTTTTACAAATAAACTTGGCTGACCTTGCTGTGAAAATATTAAGATACGAATACAAAGAAAACAAGTAGACTAAGTTTGTTTAAATAGATTTTCTCAGGACTATGCGAGAATAGCTAACAGACTTTATGTAAAATGTCTGTTTTCAACCTGTTAGGAAGGTTATAAATTTTCGTTCATTTATACTTTACTAGAGGTCCCGCAGTAGTCGAAATTCGACTATAATTAATTGGAATTATAAGTTTGTACACTATTATGATTGTATTTTATACTTCTGTAATCACAAATTTCGCCAAGACTACACTATAAAAAATATTAACAAAGACAAACAATATTTAATCTCAATTTGACAACGGACGTCAAGAACAAAACTTTGACAATAAATAGTATGCATGCGTGTGTGTGTCAAATACATGGTATGTAGTGTGTGTAATGTTTTATTTATTGATTTAATGTATCTTTTATGAATTATTTAAAAAAAATATTAGCATTGTGCACTTCTTCTCTATATTCTCTATAAGTGTGGAAAATTTCATACTCCTCCGTCCGCGCAATTTTCGTTAAAAGGGATACAAAGTTTTTGCTTCACGTATTAATATATAGATTATTCATAAAAATACACACGAACACAAATAAACTCAATACACGGTGAAGTCATGTTTTCTGATCTGAAGGGTGGGACGTCAACGATACAGTTGTCATCATGTCCGAGACGTCATGTCACGGCGTGGGTGGGAATATTCTCGCGTGATGTCTATGCGGTCCGTTAGCCACTCTACAAAACGCGGGCCGAGAACTTCTCTACCTATCTAAGGACGTAATAGGAAACCGGGTGATAATAAGCCATGTTCCCCGACCGCTCCAGGGGAAGGTACGTGGTGGCGCCATCAAGGCGTCTTCCGGTCATTTTTATGTTAAGATTGAAGTATTACTGGTGGCCCGGAGGCCTTTCCAGTTTCACTAGGACAGGTGGGTGAGCAAAGGCTCGAGCAAAGGAGGGGTGGGATTTGCTAACAGCTGCCCGAGCGCCTCCGAAGACCTAACAACTCAAAAGCAGCTGTTTCGCGACTGAATCTGCTACCGGATCGGAATCGCGACCCGCTGAGAAGATCCTGCGAGATACTCAGCTGATGCATGGGTTAGGTTGCACGTCGAACTCTTTGTCGAGTTCGACGAGTATGGGTACCGGGGTTCCTAAGCCTGCTCCTAGTGTTAGAGCTGAAGGCGTCTAATGCAAGGATTATTGGATCTGATGGATCTGTAAGGACGTGTCTAGGGCGGCGACGATGATTGGCTCCTGCCTCTCGGCCCGTCGACCGAGGGAGCCGGTGGTCTTGACGGTGGAATGGATGTAATATTCTTCTATGGTATCGTAAACAATGTTAAATTTTACTTAATTTTTTAAATATCAAACTTAAGCGCTTGTTGATTCCTCTTCGATTTTTAATTGCTATTCAAGTTGAAACATTGAAAGTGCCAATAGACATGTTCGAATAAAAAACTTTTTGAATTGATACTTTTTTTGCATTTACCCGTTTTTCATTCTAACTAATACTAGCCCTTGGAATGATTATGACGATTTTGCTCATTACTTAGCCAGAAAAGTCTATAAAAGATAAAAGTAATAAAAGTTACTATTATTTACCGGTCACCGTCCTCGTCGAACCCGTCGCTTGCGACGAAGGGCTCGACGAGCGAACTAACCCATAGACACAGCCCACTGAGTTTCTCGCCGGATCTTCTCAGTAGGTCGCGTTTCCGATCCGGTGGTAGATTCTGCGAAGCACTGCTCTTGCTAGGGTCAGTGTTAGCAACTCTCCGGTTTGAGCCCCGTGAGCTCACCTACAAACGTTAGGGCGAAGCTGAAATAGCCTCTCAAGGCTATCAGCATAGGTAGAAAAAAAAAAAATATTATTTTGTAATTTGTGATTTAAACTGAGTTGTGAAGTTTCGCCTAGAATGTTGCAGATTTCCACGCGTTTACATCGAAACAAATTTAATCAATGGAGAGTATAGAACAAAACGGAACCAATAATCAGAATTATAATAATATTATTATGTAGATATATATAATCATTTAATTTTTGGAAAAGTTACTTAGCCTTTTTTTATTATTTTTACCGTGTGTATTATTAAGCAGTACAAAAAATTGCTGACGCCCATAAGCGACGGTGACCACTTACCATCATTATATCGTCTGCCTGCAGAGGCAATGAAAAAAAAATTTCGTTGTAACTAAAACTAGGTTTAGTGTTATAAAATTAAATATTCTCCGACATTTATATTTGCGATCAAACCGAAGAAGGAGAAGCCTATTCAATCTTTCTGTTCGTTAACATGAGTGGCTTCATTAGGAATTGACGGATATAGTATAACTATTTATTCTATTGCTTAGACGCGTGGACGAGCTCACAGCCCACCTGGTGTTAAGTGGTTACCAGAGCCCATAGACATCTACAACGTAAAACTATTTAAATGAAAACAAATTCTGGTACTCTATACTCGCTTCTAAACCATTATTTCGATTTTGGTGAAACATGGTACAGTTGCTGTTGGCATTTCACATTAGCGTTAAAGAATTAGAGGTGGCGCGTAAGTGCTTTCAAGAAGTTATTGATTTTCATAAAACGAGCGATCATCACAGCAGAGCGCGACCTAATACACTAATTAGTTCATTACTTTTAGAAGAATTCCTGTACTTTTCTACATGGATACGACGGCGCCAGGGATGGTTGAGCGGCAGTTCCGTCATCATTCGTATTCGGTGGAACTGAGTTTATCGCAATAAAATTCAATAAAACCTTTTGAATAAAAGTTATTGAAACTCTCAACAAATAATTTTCACAATGGCAAACCGACAGTTTCGTTCTGACTGCCCCAACGATGTCCACGCACCGCCATTGTACTATGGCGTTACGCCATCTGCCCTGCATTTTTTTTATATTTATCAACACTACATTTTATCATTTAAATGAACAATAAAATAATGTCTTAATAATACTTAAGTCATTTTCTACGACAGATATTATATATATTGGTACATAAACTTATTATATATATAGCATAAGCAAAAATTCCAACGTTTTTTGCATTTTTAGTTATAGAATCTTTAAAACAAAATACACAAATGACACCATAACCAACTTTTATTATTTTTCTTCTTTTTTTCCTACCTGTGCTGATGGACTTGAGAGGCTATTTCAGCTTCACACTAACATGTAGGTGAGCTCACGGGGTTCAAACAGCTAGCACTGGCCCTTGCAAGAGCAGTGCTTTGCAGAATCTACCACCGGATCGAAAACGCGCCTCACTGAGAAGATCCGGCAAGAAACTCAGCGGGCTTATGGGTTAATTTATTCGGCGAGCCCTTCGTCGGGTTAATTTATTCGGCGAGCCCTTAAAACTTACAAATATACATCACATTCAGTTAGTGTCAGGACTTTTTTTACTCTGTCGGACTTTTTAATGTTTAGCATACTCCTTTCCATTGCATACTGGCAAGTTGCTAGTTTGTTTGAGGTGACCTGATTTAAGGACCATGACTGACACCCGTATGTAAGGACAGATAGTACGCAGGAGTTAAAAAAATACCTTTTTAGATTTATAAGGAGCTTTTTATCTTTCATAGCCTCTCTTAGACTCCAGTATGTCTTCCAGCCATTTGTAATTCTTCTGTCCACTTCCTTCTGCATAGGATCTTTTTGAGTTATGAGCTGCCCTAGATATACGTACTCGTCTGTATAGTTGAGTGTTCTGTTCAGTGTTTCCTAGATCTACAGTATGTTTGTACCCGTTTGTCATCACCCTAGTTTTTTCTGGATTCATTGCCAGCCCTACTCTCTCACTTTCTTTCAAGTAAGAGATGATTAATTTAATTACACAATTTATATTAAAACATTAATTTATTCCTTCGGCTGATACTTGTTCCTTCGTATACAAATCCATCCAATGTTAGATCAAATCGCTCGTGTATTCTTGACAGGCCATTAATAATTTGTTAATACTATGAAATTGAGCGTTACATAATTAATAACGTGTTTCAATTATATTTCCTGCGTTAAGATATTCTGCTTGCATATTAATGTTGCCAATCGTAAAACTATACAACAACTTTACACATTTGATAAATTGGTCGGTTTGGTTGTTATGTAGCCTCACTGGTGGTAGGACTTCTTGTGAGTCCGCGCGGGTAGGTACCAGGTGGGCTGTGAGCTCGTCCACACATCTAAGCAATAAAAAATAAATAAAAAAAATACATACAGCAGACATTGATCTTAGAGAGAGATATGTCGCAATAACAGATCTCACGAAAAATTCTATTGTATTATAACAAGTCCACATTCGGCGCTGTCGATCAAAGAAGATATACACACAGTGTGAAGTTTTATTGCCTAATATTGTTTTGCATCACAGAAGAAAGACTGCTTTTTTTTTTTTTTTTCCTACCTAAGCTGATAGCCCTTGGGGCTATTTCAGCGTAACCCTAACTTTAGTAGGTGAGCTCACGGGGCTCAAACCTGATGACGTTGCTAACACGAACCCTAGCAAGAGCCGTGCTTCGCAGAATCTACCACCGGATCGGAAACGCGACCCACTGAGAAGATCCGGCGAGAAACTCAGTGGACTGTGTCTGAGAGTTAATTTACTCGTCGAGCCCTTCGTCGCAAGCGACGGGTTCGACGAGAACGGTGACCGGTGCTTGAAGTACCTAAAAGCACCGATAGTGGATCGGGAGGATCCGAGATGACGTGTTTTGGGCGACGTCGACTGCTTTCCATTCTGTCCGCAGGATCGGGAATGTAGTTACCGGCGGCCACGATGAGAGGGTTCTCGTGTCGTGCCGCTTTATCGAAGTGGCGCATGGACGCCGACTGTAGATACTTACTGATGGACTCTAAGTCCAGGTCGTCATGGAGGTCGACGNACTGGGGTCGCCGGGCGCAACATGTAATCTCTGTCCATACTCCGCTATCATATACCATT